TTGTCACCTTTTTTGTAGGAATCTTTGTATTCAGGATGTCAATATCTTCTTTTAGATGTAGATATTCTATCTATCTTCTTGGTGTATCCAATAATAATATCATTTCTATTAACTTTATCCATGGCATTCTCAATCAGAAATCCTTAATTTTTATGTAATTAAGATCTTTTGTCTTATGTCTTAAAAGTTGTTTGAGAAATCTTTTCTTGTTTCTTCTACATTTTTCATTGGCTGCTGGGCTTTAAACTTACACAATTAGGTCTTTAATAGCTATAGTGTTCATGTTTGTTTTTGGTGTAGTTAAGCATCCAGTTTTACTAGTAGCTATAGTCACTAAGTATGCGTTCTTCACCCATTTTTGTGTGTGTGTTGCACCCTTTTGTTGCATATCCAGTTCTTGTAAACACCTGTAGTTGTGCTTCAGTAAGCACTTGTTTTACTTGGTTTTTTTTTGCCTTTTGTCACTGTAAAATAACTGGCATATTTTACTGGACAGAGAAAAGTCTTTTTTCTTTGACATCCTACTCAACACTTAATAAGGTTTCCATAACCGTATGTAGTGGTACAAATGGTTAATTCAAACTAAACTACTAATCTATATGTTTGATACTGGAATTTACCCAAATGGCCTATGCCAGGCAGTTACATGGGATGGCAATAATTTAGTATTACTGCATGGTGTCTTTTTTAATTAAACCACATGTGGGACTGTATTTCACATGTTTCATAGTAAACTTATCTGGATTCTTTAAAAAACAACAACAAAAGTCTGATTTTGATTGGAATTATGCCGAGTTTTTATCATTGAATATGGTAGAGTTGGTATCTTCAAAATAATATCCATGGCTGCATTTATATAGATAGTATGCTATCTATTAAGTGTAACATTTTTCTCTTAGGGTATGTACTTGGTTAAATTGATTTTTATATGTGCTACTGTTGTACAATAGTATCTTTGCTAAGCATTTTCTCTTGTAGTAGTATTTCATTCAGTTTCCACCTCTTCCAATGATGTCTATAAATAATGACAGTGTTATGCTTTAAGTTCCCAGTCCACATCACCTTTCTGTATGACCTTTGTGTAGACATTCAGTACTGTTAAGTAGAATAAAAAGTGGTAGCTATACCTTTCTGTGAAGCCTTGGTGATGTTGGAGGTTAGGCATAGAACTACCACTAACCAAAAGACCTTTTAAACTCAACAGCTGCTCCATGGGAGAAAGGAGGCTATATCAAGATTTGCACTCTAGAAATTACTCTATAGGGTGGTTGTGAGTTTCAGCTCAATGGCATTGGGTTTGGTTTATAGCTTTTTGGACTTAATTCTAAGCATGGAGCGAATTGGGTATAAAATAATCTCTCCGTTAAGTTCAATTAGTAGATCAAGTCAAAGAGTACTGCCTCAAATCCTAAAAGTCTTTGTTAAACAAAATACCAACCACAAAATTGTTGGTCCGTGTCCCCCCCCTCCCCCAATCTAGGTCTGTTTACACTTCTAAAGGAAGAAAAGTTTATTCTTGAGAGAACTTACTAGCAGCCCTTCACTCATTGTAGAGACATATTTAAGCCTGTTTGGTTTAGAATAAACTTATGCATGTAAATTTTTTGACTAGGTAGCCTTGTACACTTACATTGTTATCAGACCTTTTATTCTCTATAAATTCAAATGGTCTCATTCCTTGAATGTATATATTAGCTAGTACATATTTTGGAGATTTTTTTTTCATTGAACTATTGTTGCATTCCTAGAATAAGCTTTACTATATTACTTTTGTATTTTTTAAATTAAATAATCATTTTATTAGGGGCTCATACAACTCATCACAATCCGTACACACATCATTTGTGTCCAGCACATTAGTACATATGTTGACTTCATAATTCTCACAACACCCGCTTTCCACCTGAGCCCTTGATGTCAGCTCATTTTCCCCCTACTTTTATACTTTTGAGTTGTGTCCTTAGTGTGAATATGTGGGCACAAAAGTATACAGGTAGGCCCAGACTTCATAACATATTCAAATTAATGACAAATTGCAATTTAGACTTGGAATTTGTATCTTATTAGTAATATGTACTGTATACAGTGTTATATTGTTATTTGCTGTTGTTACTTTTCTTAGATGTTCATTTATAGATGTCTAAAGATAAAAGTCACTACGATACCAATAAAAGGCAATATTAATGTCAACTAACAACTTAAGTCTTGTTGGGTATGGCCTGTATGTGTTTGTGTGTATTTATATTCTGTTGTATGCAGGGTAGCGATGAGTTGGAGCCATTTTAGGTGCTTCAGTTTTTTTCGGGGGGAGGGGGAAGAATCGTCTTTTAATTCCATTTTTCTTTAAAAATTCTGAAGTGCTTTTGTCTGTAACCTTTAACTGGGTTTCCTTTGTATGTCTTTTTCCGATCCTTTTACCTTCTAATATAAATGTTAGCTTCTTTGTTGTTAGATGCCATGAGTCAATTGCAACGCAAAGCAACCCTGTGTACACTGCCTCATTCTGCATGATTCTCACAATCGTCCTTATGGCTAGAGCCCATTGTTGCAGCCACTGTCAGTCCATTTTGCTGAGGGCGTTCCTTGTTTTCGCTGCCCCTCTTTTAGATTAAATCTATGCATGTGTGCTTTTTAAGGAGACCTGGTGGTGTACTGGTTACGAGTTGGACTGTGATCTGCGTGGTTGGCAGTTCCAACCAGCAGCAGCTCTGAGGGAAAAGGCTTGGGTTTTCTACTCCCGTAAACAGTTACAGTCTTCAATACATACCCATAGGGGGTCACTGAGTCAGCAGTGAGTTTGGTTTTTATATATGTTTTTCCTATTTTATATTTCTTGGAAGTGATTTTGTGTTTAGACTTGTTGCTTCTGTCTTTATTTTTTGACATATCACATTTCTTAAAAAAAATTTTTTTTTTGGTTTTTCTCTTTGCTTCCCTCTGGCTAAATCAAGTAACCTGTGCTCATTTCAAAATTAATTCATTCTATTTTTTTTACTGCGGTAATCAGCTCATCACCTGATACTGAAACATGACTTTATGCTATTGATTTCTGTGATTCTTTAGTTTTTTTCCTCTTGGGTTTTTTTCCCCCCTCAAATGAGGCATACCTGATAAGTATTTTATATCATTATATTGTTCATATATTTGACTGGCTATGAAATTGTAAGCACCAAAATACTTGTCAGTTTGTTTAGTTACTGTTTTTGTTTATAGGTGCCCCCCCAAAAAACAAATAGGTCTAGAATTTTTGGGGTGTGTCCTTAAAATTTCTAAACCACTAACAATGGCCCTAGGTAGAATGCAGGTTTCCATGTTTAACTGAGAAATTTATTCTCAGTTCTCCAGATTTCTGCCCCGACCCCAGCTTTTCTGTTACTGAGCTGTTGCTATATTCGCCATCCCTTTCTCTAAGCTTTCCTCTTAGTGAGTCCTTGTGTTGTGAATGTCAGCCTTGCACTTACTTGCCTTTTAATATTTAATTTTTCTATTTCTTTGAAATAATTGAACCCAACCCCTTATAAAAACAAAAATCCAAACCCTCTGTCAACAGCTTATAGCAACCCCCCTCTGTCAGCAGCTTACAGCAACCCCAAAGCATAGGATGGAGTAGAATTGTCCCATATTCTGTCTCAAAGGATGTAAATCTTCATGGAAGCAGACTGCCACATCTTTCTCCCCTATAGCTAGCTACTTGGTGAGGTCAAGCTGCCAACATTTTGCTCAGCAGCTTTAAAACTCCTACTTGTAACATATTTATCATCTCCATCACCTTGGTTTCTTGCATGTGTACCTTTAAAATCATGGAAAACCTTTGAACCTTTTGTAGAAGTAGGATAAGACTATATAGAAATTGTATGCACCTGTTCCAGCATATCTACAAATTCAACTTTAAAGGCACACTTGGAAATAGATCTTGTTCCTTAACCAAGACTGCTTAGTTTTTGGCTTTTGTGCCCCCTTTGGGAAAGCTTTTCTGAGAAGCTCATGAATATCATCTTAAATCCTACAAAAACACATTTGCCGTTTTGGTCTGCACAATATTGCTTAAAATGATATACAGTATTTCATAGCGATTGGTACTCATTAATTGTTCGGTTATGTTGGACTTCGAGCTTATGTATACTGAGGAATTAGCCATTATTCTAGTAATGAGTACTGGAGGGGATGATTGAAGGTCAGACCAGTCTATTTTTCTACTCTGGTTCTGAAGTTACTCTAGGATATACGGGGAGATGGGGTGAGAAGAATGTGGGGAAGCATGCGGTCAGCAGCTCATGCTAATTGACTAATTTGACAGCATTAAATTTTCAACTTTGAATGATAAGAAAATACATTGGTATTTTTAGTGCTGATTTCTGATTTTCTTAACTAAAATAGTTCAGTTGAGAATTGTTTTCATATAAAATCTGAGTTTGACATGGATTTTAAAACCCGTTTTACAGCTAGTTAAAGTAAAATTTGAATGCACATTTTCCTAGATGGAAAAGTGGTTCACGGTTTAATCATACTTTAAGAGACTTATAACTCAAGATATATGTATCCCCTTGGGAGAATTCTGTGGGATCCATGCAATCAGTGCTTTATAACAATCTATGTACTCTTTTGATAAAATATTGGTGTACTATAAAATTCTACGTTTTATAGGGACTAAAATTAAAAAATGGTAGTGTTAGACCGCTGTGTCCTTTTAAAAACATATACTCTTGCGATACGGTCAACCACTTTGAAATCCATCTTACACTGAACTTGATTACAATGAAAGGTGAGAATATTGTGACATAATTTACATATTCTTAATTTATTTTAATTGGTTAAATTCCTCCTCTTGAAATGTTTTTTGTTGTGGGATTCATATAATTAAATCTATTAATTTTAATTGATTTTCTTTGCTTCAAATAAATGATAAATCAGTCTAGTTTAGCTTTTAAAAATGCTCCAACTTAGCATTGCGATTGTGGTTGACCATGATGTTAGATAACCGGGACTTTCTAACCTTGCAGCTTGCCTACGGTGGTTAAAAGACGAGTGAATGCTCTTAAAAACCTGCAAGTTAAATGTGCACAGATAGAAGCCAAATTCTATGAGGAGGTTCATGATCTTGAACGAAAATATGCTGTTCTCTATCAGCCTCTATTTGATAAGGTAATGCTTTTTACTGCCCTCTTCTTATTCTAGAAGACAGAATTAAAGTTCTGGAGATGTACATACTTAAATCTTTTTCTAAAATCAGAAGTGGCTTGTGAACTTGTTTTATGTTCATTTAGGCCTCGTTGAAATTATTACTAATAATTGGAAATGATTATGAGAACTATCAGACCTGGCACTTGAAATCATCGTATTCATTATATAATACGTTTTTATTCTGGTTAATAGTGTTTTAATACAAACTTTTAATCATTGTAGCGTTTTGAGATCATCAACGCGATTTATGAACCTACGGAAGAAGAATGTGAGTGGAAACCAGATGAAGAGGATGAAATTGCAGTTAGTACCAACTTTAATTTTTTCACTTGTTTTTAGATGATAAAACCTTGATGAGCTGCTCATTAGTTATGTTATAATAAAGCCAGTGGTATTTTTGTATGTAGGAATTAGTTTTCCTTATTGTAAGATGAATGAGTTATTCAACCTTCATTCACTTACTTAAAGTTTCCTTTATATTTTTATAGTACTTGGGTTTTAAACCTTTCTTTTAAATTTTATGACAGAAACCGTTATCCATTTTTCAAGTTTATATGTTTCAAATGGAAGCTTAGAGCTAAGTGCCTGGATGACAAACACTAAATGGCAGAGCTGTGTCACCACTTCATTGCTTTCTCACAGAGTATTCTTGAGTGTTAACATAAGGATGTCTTTCTTGCCTTTCCTGTTTACTAGAATTGAGAGCTTTGTTTCTCATGAAGTATGTTTTTTTTTGTGTTATATTTTCTTTTTACTAAAGCTGTATTCTTAAACTCTAGACACTAGTACTTTTCACTTTTTTAGAGGGAGGGTGGCAGCGTTGCTGCAAGTGACAGTAGTGTTTTACATATTTAGAGGAGCACTTGGCTCACATTTTTAATTGGTGATTTTGAGTGTTGCTTATTGTATTTCTGACACTGGCTATAAGTTAAGGAAACATACAAAATTTTATCCGGAAGATCTAATGTAGGCATTCAGTAACATATACTTGTCGCTTACAAGGAGGAGCTGAAAGAAAAGGCCAAGGTTGAGGATGAGAAGAAGGATGAAGAAAAAGAAGACCCCAAAGGAATTCCTGAATTTTGGTTGACGGTTTTTAAGAATGTTGATTTACTCAGTGATATGGTTCAGGTAATTTTATTAATAAAGTAGTAATTCACCCCCTCGCCCTCACCCCCATCAACTTTGTTAGGCTTGGTTTTCTAAAGAAGCAAAACCAGTGACACTTTAGCAGATAAAGGGGAAAATTATATCAAGAATATGGAGAGAGGGCAAAAAGAAAGCAAATGTCTTTAGTGTTGTAGAAGTGGGCAGGTCCTGTCCAAATCCCCACAGACTGCTGGCTGAAAATGAAACCGGTCAGCAGGGATCAGGCAATGTGGAAGGAAGGTGGTTTGCTCAAATCCAAAGGATTTGATTAGCCATATGCAAGATCGAGACCCAACAGAGAGCAGACAGATTTTTCCATGGCATCCTTGTATAGAGTGAAATAGTTCATACCTACAGGTTAAGTTTGGTGTGAATAAGAGGGTTGCTTTCTACCCTTATCTACAAGTGATAGGCTGCTCACAGCAGATACCATCATGGACTTGACTATATTCTGTTAGGGTCACCTCATGAAGGAGGAGTGGGGGTTACTAGGCCTTACTATCAAACCACTGGGAATCCTGACCCTGCCAAGTTGGTCAAAAAAGCTATCATATAAAGTCTCAAAACTTAAAAGGCCATGAATATTAATTAATTAGTTAATGCTGACCACTGTAAAATGATTAAGAAACTATGGTAACAGTATTGGTAAGCATTGGACTATTAACCAGAAGGACAGTAGATCAAAACCACCCAGCAGCTGCTTTTCAGAAGATTATCTACTCCTGGAGAGATTTATATCCTTGATATGAATTAGAAAGGAGCCCTGGTGGCAAAGTGGGCTTCAGTCTGAGCTGGCGACACTTTGAGCTGGTAACCACCAAGTCTGTGGTTCAAACCAACCAGCCACTCTGGGAGAAAGATGAGGCTATCTAGTCCTGTAAGGATTAAAAGTGTCAGAAATGCAAAGGGGCAGTTCTACCCTGCCCTGTAGGATCAATGTGAGTTTTAATCACCTCGGTGGCAGTGAGCTTGAGATAAGTTGGAAATTCACAGGGTTGCTAGAGTAGAAATGCTTTGACATGGGTTATATAGATCTATTGCTTTGTTCTATTGAAACTGCCATTTGTAGAAGGAAATTCACGTTGACTAATATCAAATAATTTGAAATCTATTTTAATGTGTCATTACATGCTTAGAGTAAGGGGGACAGGATCTGGGACACAATCTTGGTATTTATATTTTTTCACTCTAAGAGAGAGCTTTTGATTCTCCCCCAAAAATCTACTTGGATGTTTGCATATTAAGAGGACACTAAAAAGATATTTCACCATTGTCATTTCTTTAATTTTAATTTGAAGGAGCATGATGAACCTATTCTGAAGCACTTGAAAGATATTAAAGTGAAGTTCTCAGATGCTGGCCAGCCTATGGTAAACGAACTTTGAATTATTGTTAATTTTGTAACTAAGTGACACTTGAAGGAGGGGTGTGAGGATGAAAAGGAGTGAAAGGCTATGATACTGGTCTTTTGTTGGTGTTAACTAAGTGTTGGATTTTTTTCAAAGTGTTTTATTGGCACTTCATACACATACAGTTCAAAAGTTCAACCATACCAAATGCTTAAGTGTTTCAAATGTTGAAAATTGCAATGTAGCGTCTTAGCACACCCTATTTTCAATTAGTCTTAATTTTAGTGCTTGGTTAATGTGGAAAGAACATAGTGCCAGAGATACATGAGAAAGTACATGTACTTCCTATTAAAAGGCACTTTGTCCTGGGAATTACAGAAGCAGTCCTCATTTTCTTATTTCAGCCATTAAGCTTCCCCCAGAACCATCAGTGTGTCACCTATGTGTGCTAAGTAGCTATATAGTCTAGTAGTGCGTGCCACAAGGTTTTGTTTATTCTCTTGTCAAATTTCAGATTGTTTGATTAGACTCGTGGGGAGGCCAATACGGTCAGTTTATTTAGGCTTATTTGTACCAGCTACAAAGTAGTAGCAAATTAAATTAAGCTTCTTAGTTTTATTCTTCATTTTGTTTTCTTAAAATCGTGGCATTTGCCTTACTCAACCCGTTATCCTCGAGATGTTAAAGTCTTCTACCTAAAGCATTTTAAAATTTATGATGTAGGAATTTAATTTCTATACCTTTTTCTTTTTAAGAGTTTTGTCTTAGAGTTTCACTTTGAACCCAATGAGTATTTCACAAATGAAGTGTTGACAAAGACATACCGGATGCGATCTGAACCAGATGATTCTGATCCCTTTTCTTTTGATGGACCAGAAATCATGGGTTGTACGGGGTGAGTTAATTTTGCTATTTAACGGGTACTTCTGTCGAACCTATGCTTTATTATTTCAAGTATTTACTTGTCTGAAGCACTTTTGCAAAATAGTTTCTGAGAATAGCTTCCCTGTTTTTCGTAACTCTCTTGCCCCCTTATCACTAGGTTGGCACATTTTGAATGCCTCAACGGAAATTGTAGAAACCATTTACATATAGCTCACCATTTGTGCTCTTTTATCCATCTAACGAGACAAATACATAACCAAATTCATTTTATTTTTTTATTAATTATTAGGGATCTCTTAAATCTGATAGCAATCTGTCATTCAATAGTATTAAGCAGACTTGTACATATGTTACCATCAACATTGCCGGAACAATTTCTTTCTACGTGAGCCCTTGGTATCTGCTCATTTCCCTCCCTCTCCCACCCTTGTGAATCCTTGATCAATTACATATTATTGTTAACTCATGTATCACACTGTCCGCTGTCTACCTTCATCCTCCTTTCTGTTAATTCGTCCCCCTAGGAGTGGGCTATATATCCAACCTTATGATGGATTCCCTGTTTCTCATGCCCCACCATCCCCCTACCCTCACAAAATCGCTACTCCCGCTGCTGTTCCTGAGGGTTTATCTGTCCTGAATTTCTTGTGTCCAGAACTCTTAATCTGTGCCAACGTGTGTACTCTGGTCTAGCTGGATTGTAAGGTAGAACTGAGTCATGGTAGTTGAGGAGGCGGGTATGGGGAGGAAGTATTTAGGAACTAGAGGAATGCTGTGAGTTTCCTCCGTGCTATTCTGTACCCTGGTTGAATCATTTGTTCCTTGTAACCCTGCTGTGCGGGGTAAATTCATTTTCATTTAAGCGTGTGATAATATCTATCTCTACAGGTGCGTCAACTTGGTGCAAACCTAAATTGAGTTTTAATTCCAGTAAATCTGTTTCATTCGTGAGTGTATTTTACTTCAGTACTAAATATAAATGCTGTCAACAAGTTCTTTGTAAGTAAACATTAGTTGGGGGGAGGAAATGAGCCAGTCAGGGTACAGTGTAGCAACCATGAAACATACAATACAACTTTCCTCTAGTTCCTAAATGCTTACTCCCCACCCCACTATCATGATCCCAGTTCTACCTTACAAATCCGGCTAGACCAGAGGATGTACACTGGTACAGATAGGAACTGAAAACACAGGGAAGCCAGAACAGATGATCCTTTCAGGACAAATGAGGGTGGGGTAGAAAGGGGGAACCGATTACAAGGATCTACATATAGCCTCCTCCCTGGGGCATGGACAACAGAAAAGTGGGTGAAGGGAGACGTCGGACAGTGTAAGATATGACAGTAATAATTTACCAATTATCAAGGGTTCATGAGGGAAGGGGAGTGGGGAGGGAGGGCGGAAAAAATGAGTTGATGCCAAGGGCTCAAGTAGAAAGCAAATGTTTGAGAATGATGATGGCAACAAATGTACAAATGTGCTTGATACAGTGGATGTATGTATGGAAGAGTTGTATGAGCCCCCAATAAAATGTTTTTTTAAAAAAAATCAAACATCATATGTAAAGACAAACAATGGAGATTGTCATGTTGACTGCCCCAAGCAACCTTACAGTACCCCGAACCCGGTATCGAAAATGTTGTGTAATGCTAAATATTATAAATTTTCTATAAATAGCATCACAGTTTCATTTATAAGCTATTAGTGTATAATTATCTTTTTAAAATAAGTTGTTTTTAAAAGAATGTGTAACTTTGCTCACATGTCAATTTGATGCAAGTCTGTAGAGATGGGTATAAGAAATGTTCATAAACCTAGTGATATAGTGTAGCATAGCTATTTGCATAGTGCGTGCTTAGATTTCCAATAGAGACTATTTTGCTAATTGTAAATATTTGAATTTAAAAACATTCAAAAGTAAAATTTCCCTTATAGTTCTACTTAAAAGCATCTGAACCAATTTTCTTTGTTGCTTAATAATGCAACAATAAATATATTTAATTCTAAAATCATAATTGAGGTGAGTTTGCTAATTATGGTAAAAACCTCTTATACTTAATTTTGGCAGATGCCAGATAGATTGGAAAAAAGGGAAAAATGTCACGTTGAAAACCATTAAGAAGAAGCAAAAACACAAGGGGCGTGGAACAGTTCGTACTGTGACTAAAACGGTTTCCAATGACTCTTTCTTTAATTTCTTTGCCCCTCCTGAAGGTAAGTCGTGGTTTGTTTTCAATATTGATGGTGATTTTAAATTAAGTTCTCTGTAGTTGCATATTTACTCGAATTTCTTTTCTTAATTTTTCAGTTCCTGAGAGTGGGGATTTGGTAAGTTGAATTGCTACTAACTCAGTTCTTTAAACTTAAAAGCCAAACACTTTGCTCTGTTTTTCTGCCAAGGAGCTTGTGGTGGTTTCAGACCCTAAGTTTTTTGTTAGTAGCCCAAACTCCTAATCACTGTGGCACCAGGGTTTCCACTGTACTATATTTGAAATTAAAGCATTGGTTCTTGAAAACAGATGGTGGCATGATTGTTGCTAGTATGGTTTTTTTTGAGGTCTCCAACGCATGAGGCAGGCAAACTTTAATGGCTTTGAGAACGTATTCTACTCATAAAGCTAATAGAATACACATTGAGGAAAAGAGGATAGATCTGAAATTATATTTTAAAGCTGTTGCATTTCTATTCCATTGAGATTTGCTTATAGTTTTGTGATGCCATTTTGCAAGACAAGTAAACCAAAAGATAGTGAGTCGTTTGTGTTGCTTATTATCCTAACTGCATTTTGATTTGTTATTTCTATGGAAATTTAACTATTTTGAAAGCCATTTGTGAAGTGACAAATTGAATAACATTTTTTTTTAATTTTAACAAAATAGGATGACGATGCCGAAGCTATCCTTGCTGCAGACTTTGAAATTGGTCACTTTTTACGTGAGCGTATAATCCCAAGATCAGTGTTATACTTTACTGGAGAAGCTATTGAAGATGATGATGATGATGTGAGTGAGTCTGAATCAGTGGAATCATTTGGTGAGGGTATAGTAGTTGATGAGAGGTGAATGCATATGAGCTTTTTAAAAAGCAAGATGTAGAATAATTAAAACATTTTTCTTAAAGGTTTTCCTATAGATAGTTTTTCTGATTTGTTTTAAGTCTATTGCAGCTCCTTATTTAGTTTGTGAAGATGACTGAAGTGCTTCAACTTTATTATATGTGGTTATTGATTTAGATGTAGTCTGCAGTTACCATGTATACTCGAGCATCAGCCAAGTTTTCCAGCACTTTTTAATGCAGTTTTTGTGGTAAAATGAGGTGCCTCGAGTATATACGGTGCTATTGAACATACAGTGGACTGAGGAGGTATATATAAGTACTTTAAATGACATTAGGAAGCGTAGAATTCTGTTGAAAGGGGTGGGGGTGGGGTGATGATTAAACTATAATTGGGCAGGCTTCTATTCTTTTAATATCTTTGTTATCAAATGTCAACCTATTCCATGTAGAAGTACAGGCAGGTAGTACAGTGATAATTACCTGGTGACACTGCCCCCGATTGTAGACTTGCTTACTTTAATTCTAGTTCTCAAATATTTGCATTGATGTGAATAATTCCTCAGGTTAACTTTTAACTATCAATAGGTACAGTTAAGGATGATATTATCATTCTCAGATGTATTTCACACAAACTTAATTTTTTCTCCCCTTTTTAGTATGATGAAGAAGGTGAAGAAGCAGATGAGGTAATGTTTACCAAATGGGCAGATAATTCTGTTTAGTGCATTGAGAAGCAACTTGAGTGACAATGTATTCCATGTTATAGTCATTATTCTGTCATAAAGGTTAAAAATATTTTTTGGACAATAATGATTTTAGAATTCTACAGCCCAACAATGTATGTGTAAGGTTTCAATAAATAAACTGTAAAACTCAGCAACACTTTTTTTTTTATTTCAAATAATTCTGTTCTGCTGCAGGGTTATCAGCTCTTTGAAGAAGTCAAAAGCTGCAGTAAACTTTTTCAACGTTGGCTGCAGTAAATCTTTTCAATAAAACCTGTCTGGATGTCTCGAGTTGTGTCGGGAAATTTTCATATTAGAAGCTTTCCAATTAAATTACGTTATCAGCAAACTCTGTAATCATGAAAATCTGTTGACCTCTCTAGAGTAACTTATATTAAATTCTCTCTACAATATGAGACATTTCTTCCTACTGTACCTACTTCATGGATGCATTTTGAACTTTAATATAGGAAGGGGAAGAAGAAGGAGATGAGGAAAATGATCCAGATTATGATGTGAAGGTGAGCAAGACTAGTGATAACTTTCTGTTAGTGGAAAGGATAAATACGGAAGTTTATTTTTCCATATTAAATTCCCATTAGCTGGATGACTTCTCCCCTCTTAATCACCATTGGCATTTGAGTAATTCACATAATTTCATTGCATCTTTCCCAAGAAATTCCTCTGTATGGGTTTTGGGCATGTGTTTTCCATAGCTTCAGGAAAGTAAATTTTGGATTTTGTTGTTATGTCATAACAGTGTGATACATTTTTAAATGGCTTGCAGCGTTTCTCTCCCTGAAGGTAGGCCCGCTTTTTTTAAGGGTCCTAATGTAGTCGTATTCCTCAGCACCAAGGAAGTACCACTAGTCAGTCGCTCTGTCCTAGTGGTAATTCCTGGGAATTTTAAAATATCAAATTAGTCAAGGTTACTTAGCCCCTCACAAAGTACATAGGAAAGTACTAGGATTCACTTGAAAGTGCTGGCTTTTCTTTCATATATTTATTTGCTAAATCCTGTTAAATATCTAGAGTATATTTTAAAATAATGTCCAAGTAAAAGAATAATTTGGACATGTTGTTTTCCTTTAACAGAAGGATCAAAACCCTGCAGAGTGCAAACAACAGTGAAGCAGGAAGTATGTGGCCTTGAGGATAACCTGCACTGTAATAGCCTGAACACAACTCTTATTTACTTACAGCCTTATGTTTTTGTATTTTCTTTGTAGACTCCGTAATTTTTTTATAGGAAAGGAACTGATTTTAAAGACAAATTTGTTCTACCTATCATTTTAACTATAATTTTACTGTAAGATATGTTGCGTGCATAGATTCTCTCAAGCATGTTCATTGCTACATAGTTTGTTGACTATTTTTATTATGTAACTATTAGATTGCAGGTAATGGAACTTAACAAAACTGGCAAGTGAAACAGATTTCTTGCTTTGCAAATTTATTTTCCTGAAGAACCAAAGTATTTTTCCAGCCAGTAGGTGAATGCGTTTCAGTCTGCTTGCATTAGCTGTGCCTTTCATTACTTCGTTAAGGAAATGCAGTGACTTATACTAAAAGAGATAACTTAGTGTTTTGTTTTTTTTAAGTATATGTCAAGTATATGGTTAAGAATTTCCAGTAAAACCTCATTTGATAACTATCAGTGTTTAGATTTTTGGACTTTAGTGACAATTAACTATAAAGATGCTAACTCATAGAGTGGGAATTGTTTGCCCAAGGAATAAATAAAATAAAGCCCTACTAGTTAATCTCCTACTTATATAACTATACATTTAAATTTAATCTCCATTAACTAAGCATCTCTTCTTTGTGGTAGGGTCTGCCTTCTGCTTCCCTGGAAAGGATGACATTTACATCATTTGACAAGCCTATTTCAAGTGTTGGTTTTTTTGTTGTTTGTTTGTTTGCTTGCTTTTGTTTTTGCAGTCTAAAATAAAAATGTCATACAATTTTAGTTCTTAGAAGTTAATGTCTTAATTTTGTATTAATTTAGCTAGAGGCAGAGGCCTAACTTAAAATGTTTACACCCAGTTTATCATTGAAGAAAAATGTGCCAACTCTTGAAGACAGAACAACATCTGCTAGTGAAAAAGCAAGTGTAAAAAGGAAAAGACAAAACTTTAAATGATGTGTGGTTGTTTTTTTTAAGGGCAGATTAAATTTGCATTTCTTTGAGAACTAGAGAAAAGGCCCCCACGTTTCTATGACTTACTCTAATACTGCATAAAGGTGTGGGGTGAGTCATTTACCTGTACACTTCTGTTCAGTAGGTACTTAAATTGGGTAGTACTGTTTCCTTCACTACCTCACAGATGATGTTGAGGCATAGTAATTTAAGTTTTGTGAAATGTTTGTTCGGTCTTATTAAAAGCTCAAGAATTCGGATCTATTTAGTGTAGCACAAGTACGATCGCATCTTTTTCATCCCAGGGGTTAATAATTTACACTGGAAAACAAGGGTTAGGCACCTCTCCTGGGCAGGCAACACTTGCTCATGTGGTTCTTATAAGAGGGTGAATGAAAAGGTCCAAGAATCTACTCCCGACCCTCCCCAATTTTATACATGACCATGTTGTAGTAAGTACTTGACATCATGATAATAATAAAGTGGAAAATAAAAACAATGGAACATGCCATTAAATTTGAGAGAAGAGCCACATCTAATATACCTCAGGCTAATTACTGTTACTTATTTGTGAAGAATTTAAAACTTTGAAGGTGTACTAATCTGATAGTAAGCTGAGTTGAAGGCCAAGAGATTCCGTTCTTAATAAAATTACATTGGGTTTATTACTAGAGGTTATAATTTCCCTTAAAAGAATTTAATGTAAAGATGGAATGTGAACACATTTTCTAATTGTATAGTGTGATCTATTTACCAATCATTCTAGGGCAGCAGTTCTCAACCTGTGGGTCAGTGTGTGACCCCTTTGGGGTCAAAGGACCCTTTAACAGAGGTCGCCCGATTCATAACAGTAGCAAAATTACAATTAATGGAGTAGCAACCAAAATAATTTTATGGTTGGGGGTCCACCACAACATGAGGAGAACTGTATTAAAGGGTCTTGTCTTTAGGAAGGTTGAGAACCACTGCTGTAGGGAATAAGAGATCAGTCAGTTTGCCTCTGATTTACTGCCTTAGAAACCTCATGTGGCAGTTCTGCTCTGTCATAGATTGCAGAATCAGTTTGACAGAGTGTGTTGGTGTTTATTTCACTACTGAGATTTTAATTAACTACTGGAAATCCTTAACCAATTGTAATAGTTTGTAGGGAAAAATAATGCTAAGAAAACACCATTTTTTCTTCCCTTTATTTCCAGAATGATTTCAGTTGCTTAGAATCAGCCATTCTGTACTGGTTGCTTTTGTACCCATAGCTCATCTTCATAGATTTTTCTGAAGTGTAACAAGTTTTTATCTTAAGATAGCATCTCATTTTTAATGAAATAGTAAAACCACTAGTTTTACTTTTCTTTCATTCCTTTTAGGAAATAGCTATTGCCAAAGTGAAAAGGTAGATAATATTTCATCTTGTTATATGAGGGGCGTGATTTGCAGAAGAATTGTTCTCAATAAAATTGAGAGTTTAAGGTGTCAGTGTTCATCTATGACAATTGTCCAGTTCAAAATGGTTTGATTCCATTCTAGAAATTTGAAATACAATGTAATTTCAAACACTTAATAAAACTTGGATTTTATTTTATATAATGTACTGGTGATATTTTGTTTTATATAAATGTATATTATATCAGTGCTTTGCAAAGCAAGGCTTGAGCTTTCTAGAGTTGGGTGTTATGTACTTGGGGACACTGTCCCATAAATTTGTATTGTTTTAAGAGCAACCCCTGAAACCAGCCTGCTAAGTAGGATTTACCATTTCAGAATTGTAAATAACCGCAAACATTTCTGAGAGATGCTGAGATTTGTCTTTATGATCTCAATGTAGTTTCTTCCATCTTCGGTACTAAAAAGATTCTGGTAAATAGGACAGGTTTCATACATTGGTTACTAGTTTGACATGATATTTCAAGTGAATTTTTCAGTTCTTTTATTGAGTTTGCTGAAATACTAACACTTCTAATGATATGAACACATTCAATTGGCTTAGAGCAATACTTTGAGAAGACTAAAATTCTACTTGTATTTCTTTCCATTCATCTGACAATAAATGAAAAGGAAACATTTCATTTGATTACTCTGGCTACATTAATGATAAGTGATATGTGATAATTCTAGAATGAGATTAATGCTGCTTAAAAGACAAATATGTGGGTTTTTGGGTTTCTGGGCCATTGCTGTTATTAAAGATGGCAGGTATTCAGTGATTGACTTCAAAAAATTTAGCCATCATTTTTTACTATCTTCTGCATTATATACCTAATAACGTTTGAGCTCCATTTAGTTTTGAAAATAGTGTAATTTTAGGTAGTTTCCTATTTAAGGCATAATAGCCACAGTAAATGTAAATGAAGTAATACTGAAATTAGAGATGCACACTGGTGATTTTGTGTGCTGGTTTAAAAATACCGACTTAAAGATTATAACCTGGATAAAGGGTCAAAGGCTAGACTGAGAAAGGATCACATAGAAGTCAAGAGATAAATGACTCGTTGCAGAAGACCTTCTTAAAGTGTTGAAGCAGCGAGGTTACTTTGAGGACTAAGGTGCACCTGACCCAAGCCATGAACTTTCAGTCATCTCGTGTGCATGTGTAGTTGGACTTGAGTAAGGAAGACAGAAGAAAAGTACTGTGATTGGATTGTGAAAAGGGCAAACATCTTGGGAAATGTACAGCTAGAATGCTCCTTTGGGGCAGGGATGGTGAGACCTACTTTGGACTTGTTCTTAAGAGAGGAGAGACCAGGTCCTGGAGAAGGGACATCATGCTTGGTCAAGCTGAGTCAATTCCAACTCAGCCAACCCCTGTAGGTCTCTCAGACGAACTGTAGAAAGTTCAATCCTCACTCTGGGCCGCTGATTTCTCACTGCTGACAATGTGGATCACATCCCATCACGTAGCCACTGGACCGCAACACAGCCAGGGTTCTCTTCCCCTAAGCAGTTGGCATGAATTAGGACTGCATCCTGAAGGGGATTGCCCTGCTGGTCTCAGGAGAGGAGGTAATTCCCTTCACACTACTGAGGGTAAGACTCACTGGTCAGTGGTCTGAGGGATTCAGTGCAGATAGGTGGGCTCTGCAAGTGACCTGTGGGCTTTCACTGTCATCCGTAACCTATGAATGGTTCTCAGAATTCAACCCCACTAGTTCGCTTCTCTGATCCTAGCTTGTGTGTTCCATGGGATATTGCTGTAATTCATAGTAATCTAGCCAATGAAATACTATTGAAAGTAAAACATGGGGGAACCGATTACAAGGATCTACATTGTACATATCACTTCCTCCCTGGGGGGCGGACAACAGAAAAGTGGGTGAAGGGAGATGTCGGACAGTGTAAGATATATATGACAAGGTAATAATTTATAAATTATCCAGGGTTTATGGAGGAGGAGGGAGTGAGGGGGGAAAATGAGCTGATGCCAGGGGCTTGTGTTTTGAGAATGATGAGGGCAGTGAATACAAATGTGCTTTACACGATGTATGTATGGATTATGAAGAGTTGTATGAGCCCCTGATAAAATGATTTTTTTTTAATGTTAACATATATAGGAAAGCTTTTGAAAAAGCCTTTAAAAAATTAGGGCTTACTAGTTGGGTTTTTAAAAAAAGTTTCTTGTGAAATGACCAACATTCAGAAAACTTAGAACAAGCATTTTTGAAAATTAAAATTACAGTACATTGCTCTTAGAAAGTCTATCATAAAAAAAAGTCTCAGATCATTTATAAAGTTTGCTTCCTGATTTCTGCTGGTTCTCCTTTTTAGGTAACTTCTAGTTTGGTCTTTCGATTCTTGTTTGGAAAGTTTGTGAAATTTCTTTACTTTTTGGGGAGACTATCGTGTTTGGGTTCGTTAAGCTTTTTAATATCTGTTGTGTTTCAGGATATATATATATAAAGCTTCTAATAACTTCAATTTTCTCTGCTTTATTTTGTCTCTTACTATTTCAGTCGCTGGAAAAGATACTCATTTTGATTGAATGTCCTACATCTTCCACTTGTTTTCTAATTGTCTAGCAGATAGTATTGATACATGTGTCTTCAATCTTGCTTAATTGACTTAATTCCCCTTTTGTGTTTTTAATTCATTCTCTATTAGAAATCTTTATCTAAATTTCCTAATTTTCTGTTTTTTGGTTTCTGATCTCATTTCACTTTTTAGTAAGGTCTTTATAATATTTTCCTATATTCTAATAGTTTTGGTCTGTTTTTCTTGATGCTATTGATGAATTCTTGTTTTTCTATCAAATTGTTGAAGATACCTAAATACCAAAATACTTTTTTTTTTTCTTTTTAATACCATTCTTTTGAATTCATCTTCAGATCGTTCCAATACCTTTTATTCCTTAGGAAGGTGTTTTGGTTCTTTATTTTGGTCACTTGTTGAACCACTTACTTCTTTATGTGAAACCGATGTCTGGTCTAGAAAATATTGTGGTGTTGTGTTTGTATTTAATAGGTGATTAGATGCAGGATTTCTTTTGCTTTATGGTTTGTTTAAAAAAAATTTTATATATATATATATATATATTGCATGAGCAAGGTGTGGCTACATCAGGTTCTACTCTGCTTTTTAGCCAGGCACTTAACCATATATATCCTGGTGGGTGTGATAATGCACTGCTGGTGGTGAGTTGAGCAGATTGGTGTTGTTACTGTCAGTCATTGATGATGGTGTTCTTTGCTCAGT